CAGGAGTCCAGGGGACATTTGCCGCTTTGGCTGTACTACAGAGCTTGTGATACTTGTACGGCCAGAGGCATTCGGGGTATAATAAGGCATGCGCAATACAATCATGGAGTCCCTTTTTTCACAAAGTCCTTATTTTACACTACACCGGTAGCTGATGTCTAGTAGTCGATCGGATAGCCGGGCTGATTGGTGAACTGTTGGTACTGTCCAACTTTGGGAGGCGGGTTTTGGACGACTTCGTCGTAGGCTGGTGGCGGGCAATAATTTACACCTAGAGCTCCCTGCTGGGGTGCCGGCACAGCTACGGAGGAAACGGAAATTATTTTCAAAGACATGTCCGTGCTGCTTTTGAGTTTCAACTTACCCCCACCCCCTCAAAAAAATAATTAATTAATAAAAAAAATGCTTTTAAAATTGTTAATTTTCCATCCATATGATATACAAACGTTACTTTATACTTTTGAATGAGACATCAAACAGAAAACAAATTAGACAACGTTTCGTTATTGAAAGATTATAGGCCTACTTCACACAATTTGAATTACTTGCGGCCCGTAAAAAAAAAAATCGGTTCTCGCTTGTAGTAAACTAATTCAAGTTCAAAAACATTTTATATCCTAAAAGACTTTTCAGTTTTCACCCCATGACAGCCACAACATTATTTCATAAATTTTCATCTTTGTACGAGCACACCGAGTTGTACTGGCCAACATGTATTATAGATTCTCAGAAGTGAGAGGTCAATTTTTCTCTTTCACGTCAGGCGATTGTTCAGTTTCCATAAATTGAGATGTTACAATTTTACAAAGACCTATTTCGAGGGTGATTTTCGTAAGAAATCATAGTACCAAAAATAACTGCACATTTTATAATTTTTCACGTTAATTTTGCTATTCGATGGGTCCGGAAGCGCGCCAACAGGCGGGGCGGTGGAGCCGGGGGGGGGGGGGAGCTTGCCTCCCAGATTTACCCCAGTTTGGATACCGTTCCGCCGCCGCTGCCACCAGGGGTGAACTTTCAGACTCTATGACAGGGATGAAGGAGAAGAGGAGGGTGTCACTTACTCTGTACTGTAGAGACTACAACGGGAGGGCGGGGCATCTGCCTCCTTCCTGCGCAGACGCAGCAGACGATCATGAGAGTGACAAGAAGAGATACGCCGACCACACTACCAAAAGATACACCGACTATGGTGCCAGTGCTGTTTGTGCAAATGATACAAATCATCAACATTTTATGAAGAACAACCATGAGGATTTTCAATCGCTCTATTGGCTTATTGTTTCGAATTTACATAAAGGCGTCTCATTGACCATACAAGAACCTTGGAGGAAGTACTTTCTTTTGCTTGTGATATGTGGTGCAGCAAACATCATTCTCGCAACCATGCATTCATCCCAGATCGACATTTTGAGATTATCCCTGAAATTCGGTAGATTTGTTGTTGTACACTTAAAGACAAATTGTTGGCTTAAACAATTTTAAGGCCCATACTCTACGACAACTCCTCAATGGTAAGTATGCCTTTATTGGACCATGCAGTGGTCCTCAGTTCACCACAGTTTTTTGCAGTGTATAAAATGACCGATCACACGTTTGTGCGAATATGGCAGAGTCATTCTGACAGTATAAACAATCGGGAATTCCTGTCGAATCCATCACTCCATCATCAATAAATTAAGGCTCATAGAGTGATCAACTATTATGTCGCGGCTTTGAGGCGCAGCTGTTTACTTTAAAGTTGGAATAACTTATTCCAGTACAATTACAACCGACTCGAAATGGCCTCATGAATCATGATAACAGAAAGTTCATGTCATTTGCCGGTATTAGATTTCTGAAACCAGCTGATTTGCCATAATTATTCCCCGAACAGTCTGGAAGACAAATCAAGTTGTGTAAAGCTGGTCATATGATTCAGTTGATTCAAAATGTCTTTTCACTGGAAGCCTTTTCGTGCCTCTGGATTATTAGCTGGATTTAGCCCAGCCGATTGGCGTTATGAGGTAAACCTATACGATAGCACTGCCAGGCTCACTCCACACGAGTCAACAACCATGTAAGTCAGCCAGCCAGCCAGCCAGCCCGCCAGCCAGCAAAACTGGACAGAAGTCACTATATAGGCTGGCCCCCAAGGACAAGCAATGGACCGTATTCACAAGGAAGCCATTTTCGACCGTGTTTCCTGAATCTAGTTTATAAATTGTAACCTGTTGAATGGGATGGTGCCAGACTATTTTGTGATTGGCGTGCATTTCAAGCCTCACTTTCAATTTTGTGTTTAAATGTGGCCTATAAAATTGAACATTGGGGTATGTTGAATCACAAGTTATCCATCAGAGCAGACTGATATAAATTTGCAAGTAAGTTTATTTCATTACTTTCATTTCTACTCGCAAGTTCCAAAAATGGAGACTTTTACCTCGCTTTCAATTTAATGTGGCCGACTCGTGAATAAAGTATATTATATAGTCAGATTGCCTCTTCTTGGAAATACTTACTCCCAATAACCGTGGTAATCATTGAAGTCACAGCAGTGATGCTCTGAGGTAAATTCATCGCAGCAGTATGTCCAGTCAGAAGACTGGCCCGGCTCAGGACAGTGGAACGAGTCGGTGTATGACGAATCTTCATAGATGCTCGAGCAATAACCCGCGTAAGCTTTGCGAGGAAATATGAATGAAAACAATCAAAATTGAACAAGTTTGTTAATCGATCGACTTCATGCATGACTATAATCGTGGTTTTTTTTTAGAACAAGCTTTCTCTTGTATTTTATAATTTAATTTTAATACGTGTCATGCTAAGATATAGTAAAATATATATATATATATATCTAAAATGCAACATCAATATATTTTGTTTGATTATTAATCACACAATCGGAACAAGGTTTCTCTTGTATTTTATAATTTAATTTTAATACGTGTCATGCTCAGATATAGTAAAAAAAAAAAAAATTAAATATATCTAAAACGCAACATCAATATATTTTGCCTGACTATTAATCACACAATCGGAACAAGGTTTCTCTTGTATTTTATAATTTGATTTTAATACGTGTCATGCTAAGATATCGTAAAAAAAAGAAAAGAAAATATAAACAAATAATTAAATATATCTAAAATGCAACATCAATATATTTTGCTTGATTATTAATCACACAATTCTTAGATTTTGTTTCTTTTGGGTCGGAAAAATGTTAATGTAATATTTGATGTTGCCTTCACCGCGGTGAAGGAACAGTACTCTCTAATTTCCAAGGAGTGAAACAAGGGACTAACCGATTTAGAAGAGTGAGAATCACTTTAGGTTGAACTCTGAAAAAGTAGAAACTCGAGTGAAACATCCATTAGATTAAATGAATTTCTTCTTTTCCATAGTTCGAGTCAGTGGAGGTGAATTTCACTTGAATCAGCCAAGTTTGGTGCTTTGGACCGGTCGGTCACGATCTTGTCAAAAATTGGATCTAAGCCACTTAAAGCCCCTGTCACACTGTCACGATGTAGCCTCTCGATCACGATCGATAAGACAGTGCTGAGACGCAAGACTCGACGACATCGTGAAACTCGGAACGACATCTGAACTTTATCGGAGCGACTTCTCGAGCGTCGTTTCGGCATCCTACAGGTCGTGCATGGTCGGCAGTGGAGCCACGATTAGTTTCAACAGTTGAAACATATCGTGATGGTCGGCAAAATATCCAAAACGGATCAGAGTCTGTTCTCTGTCTGTACTCACACGGTTGTGTCGTAAGAAGTCGTAATGACATCGCAATAGTCTGTACGAGATCGGCCATTTTTTTAGCCGACTTTGATACGACCATTACGACGTGAAATTCCGAAGATGACGTCAGCCTGTCGTTTTGGAATCGCTTCGGCATTGGTTCTCGATCTTTTGTGTCGGTACTCAATCGGTTGTGTCGGTACTCTGTCGGTTGTGTCGGTACTCTGTCGGTACTCTGCCAGTTATGTCGTAACGAGATCGGGACTCACTCGTGAAAAAAATTCAATTGAACGGATCAAAGAGTCGTAGCGAAGTCGTAACATTTGGTTAGAGGTCGTTTCGAGTCGTCGTTTTCGGGACGACATCGCAGAAATATGAATTTGGCGCCACATTTCCTACGTTTTTGGTACGATTTTTAAGATTTTTTTTTTAATTTTATGGTCTTGGTGGGGTCTTAGTCTTTGGTCTTGGATGTGTGGCAGGGGCTCAACTATAATTATACTCACCACATGAGAATGAAACGACGAGAACAAACAGGGCCAGAAGAGTGCGAGGTGCCGCCATTTTAGGGAAAGATGGAGGGGGACTATTAATCGTGTGACACTGTTTCACGAGAAGAGAACTGTGACGCACACGCGAGCCTGACAAACTGCAACTATAGAATCTGATCATATGATCACATGTTTACAGAGTTGATGTTGAACTTCGGATTTATGGACTACTGGGCTGCAAATAAATAAACGCTGGTACAAAAATAATGTTGTTGCCATCTATCCTCTTTTTTTATGCAAAAATGTTTATTCTGATATCATCTAAGTGCCAGCGTCAAGATATCAAAATGATCAAAGTGGGTTTCGATAACAAAAGGCGTTCACATCCAAACTCAATTTACCAAAAAGTAAATGAAAATCATATAAAAAACCAACTTTCTCCTGGTATATAGCTATATAAACTAGATTGCAATGGCAATGGATAGAAAGGTTTACTTAAAAACAACAACCCCAAAAACAAACAAACAAACAAATACACAAATAAACAAAAAACACCCAAACAAACAAACAAACGAACGAACAAACAAAGTAATTTAATCAGAGGAGGAGTGAAGATGGCTGTAAACCGATGGCTAACCCCCACTTATGCTTGGTGAAATTTGGATAAAAAGTAAAAAAAGAAAAAGGAAAAGCAGCGCCCTCTGGAGTCTAATGAGGCCCTACAACCTCTCCCCCCCCCCCCTCCGATTTTGCACCCCCAGAAACAACTACAATCAAAACAAAACAAAACAAAACAAATAATGCAAAAACACAAACATGTTTTGAATCCGCCCTTGAATCAATCAAGTATGCGAAAGCAGTACCTTAATAATACTTTGAACAAAGTCAGAAACGGAAAACACATTTTCCACCGAGTGATAATTTATTTTTCCCCGCTCATATTTCCCCACCCCACGGTAGTTAAATTATTTATTTTGAAGGCAGGTTCGAAGACCGTACATATATTATCTCTTTTTACAGAAGACTTTTGTATTTTTAGGGCTCAACGCTATTTTTAAGGGCTTTGTTGTTTAAAAAAAATGTTGACGTTATTCGACCTTGGCAAGAGCAATGTGAGTATGTGTCTGTTAGGCTGTCGATTGCTACATGAAAACAAATACGATTTTTGGCAATTATCGGAAAATGTCTGCCTTTGTCCATGATAAAAAGGACTCAAACAAGAGAGGTTTAAGGGGGGGGGGGGTAGGGTAGACTGGGCCTTAGCTCCCTATACGAAAAAGCGTAACCATCCCCTCAGAAAAATTCTTAGAAGAAAAAGAAATTCGTTTAAATCATGTTTATCCATCGGTTTTGAAACAAAAGCATGCAGTTGAATATTAGCATTTGTTTGTAGCACGTCTCTCATGTTCTTGCCAAAATGTTTGATACTGTAGATGTTACATGTTATTTTTGAAATAGGATAAGTTGGAAAAATCAACATATTTTCGGTAACTGAAAAAAAATCTGCATTTTATTGTTGGATGAAGAACAAAGTACCCAAATACATGTGAAATGTAATACAAACAATATTTTGGTAACATCATTTATTTCATATACGAATGCTGTATACGCAGCACTTTTAACAAAGGCAATTTGTTTCACTTTATCTCCTTTTGACAAGCTATCAGAGGAGCTAAATAAAGGTACGATATTATTTATTTACAAATTTGAAAGCCCCTGGTGCTATTAAGATTTCATAACCAGCAAATTTCTGCGTGCAATTATCAAAGAGTAAAACTGACAAGATATTAAATATCAATTTGAGATACCGGTATCAAATGCCGCTATCGGTCTTATAATAAAGTGTGTCATGTAGTCCCGATGTCATGGAGCGTCCGATCATTGCAAAAATATGACATAGCGAATTCATTTGCAAACCAACAGTTAGCTAAGAACCAGTATAATTATAACAAACAATAACAGTTTACACACCTCACAACAGTTTGGCGGTATTTTGCGATAAGCAGATATTTGTCATGCTTGGTGAACTTTGGCCCGCTCTGTGTAGAATTTGATGCCGTTGTCATATGATTTCGGGCTCTAATGAAATCCGGTCTCTTTTATACAGACTCTCTATGAGTTTAGAGTTTAAGCATAGTTCTGAACACTTTAATGACTTCTTGTACATCTACGCCATGTTTGAGTTTATGAATATCTGCCTGTCACATGTTTAGGTACACAAGCCTGTTTACCACCAAGTATAAGTAGTAACTGTAAACAAAATGACAGGGATGAAGTCGAAATTGATAGGCTAAATAAACACTTTTATCACGATTTTCCATCACGTGTCTCATAAAAAGTGAATGTGTTACACTTTTTTAGTTGAGTTATTAGCGCTAGTTGGCTAAAACAATATCGTGGACTAACATGTATGCAAAAAAAAAAAGCGTTTTAACTCTAAAACCCACTTTAACAGTGTAAAGCATGCACAATACTGATGTCTAGTAGTCAATCGGATAACCGGGCTGATTGGTGAGCTGTTGGTACTGTCCAACTTTGGGAGGCGGGTGTTGGACGACTTCGTTGTAGGCTGGTGGGGCGCAATGACTTACACCTAGAGCTCCCTGCTGGGGTGCCGGCACAGCTACGGGGGAAAGGAAATTATTTACAAGGTCATGTCCGTGCTGGTTCTGAGTTTCAACTCACCCCACCCCCTCACAAAAATAATTAATTAATAAATAGAAATGCTTTTGAAATTGTAAATTTTTCTAGCAATATACAAACGTTAATCACTTTTGAATGAGACATCAAATGAAAAACAAATCAGCCCAAGTTTCGTCATGGAATGGTTAGGCCTACTTCACACAATTTGAAATACTTGCAGCCCGACAAATAAAATCGGGTCTCGCAGAGTAAGTTTTAAGTAATTCAAGTAGTAGAACCGGGAACCAATCAAGGCAACCTAAAGTAAAAAAAAAAACACTTTAAAAGTGGGGTTTGTCATTAAAATAATACATATGCATGTATATAAAATCCGTCATGCACCGTGGACTGTTAACACATTAAATTCGTGTATGTACACATTTACTCGAAAGGATGACAAATTCTGATGTGCGTTAAAAACATCGAACTGGCCGTATGGGCCTTATTCATGAGTTGGCCATTTTTGTTGAGTTCCCTGAATGTATTTCATTAATTGTTGACTGTTGAATGGGATGGCGCCAGACTTTTTATGCAGGCGCAATACAGCCTTATTTCACTGCAATTAAAAAAAATATGGCTTTAAACATTAGGAAATGTTTAATTAAAAATTCTAAATTATTCATCGAAGCAGACTGGAATTTATTATAAATGAAACTTGCTATAAATGAAACTTGCTTTCATTTCTCTTCGCAATTTCCAACAATTAATATTTTACCTAACTTTCTATTCAATATGGCCGACTCGTGAATAAGGCCCATAATACGCACCCACTGAAGGTTGCAGACCAAGAAATAGACGGTGTAGTACCAAAATTGCCCAGGCCGACCAAATGACCATTTTGTTCCTCGATAGAGAGAGTTTTGTGGCCCTTGCATTTGAGGTTTGGTTGCGACTTGGGGTTCAACGGATCTGATCCAGACTTTAACATTCTGAGAACATTCTGATGAAATTTTGATTGACTTCAGGACAGCTTTTAAGGGGTATAGTCAACTTGGGAGGGAGGACAAAATCACCATAAGTCATCGATCAACCATGTAAAAGTCGAAAAGAACGTGAAGGAGGAGTTCAGCTTTAATTTGATGTGTGTCTTGTACATCTTTGGACAGTGGCTTAGCAAGGTCATCTTTATGGGGGGGGGGGGCTAAAAATTTCATGAAAGGGCACTTGCACATCCGTGCTCAAATCTAGACAGGTTTTTTTCTCCGGACACTTGGCCTTCGTAAAATCAAACTGGGGGGGGGGGGGGGGGGGGGGGGGGACAAGATAGTGCTTTTAAGGGTGATACCGTACATGCGCGAAATTAAAAAAAGGCACCCACAACGGCCGATGGCACAAAAAGGGCACCATTTAAAAAAAAAGGGCACTTGTTCAGAAAAAAAGGCACTTGTTCAGAAAAAGGCCATTTGTTAACAAAAAAAGGGCACTCTTTAAAAATATTGGGAGAAGGCGCTGTTGAAAAAGGGCATTTGTCTGGACTCAAGGGCAGTTTTTACAAAATATTAAAATACCACCTTACCCCCCCCCCCCCCCCGGCTATGCCTATGACTTGGAGAACTGTAAGTATTGTTTTCATTTTTGTTTGAAGTAGGGGTATTTATCAAAGGTGTCTGCAGCTACAATCCTGGCCAAATCTAGCTGGGCCCCCAACCCGCCGGCCCCCGTTCAATGTTGTCTCTCATTGCGCGGTATGTGCTCCATCAGCTGGAGAGAACAACATTGACCGTTTTGGCTGGGATTGTAGCTACAGATGGGTGGTGCCCAATGACAGGGAGGAGCTGGTAGGGAGGGGCGGGTGTCACTTACTCTGTACTGTGGAGAGTACAACGGGAGGGCGGGGCATCGGCCTCCTTCCTGCGCAGACGCAGCAGACGATCAAGAGAGTGACAAGAATTGATACGCCGATCACACCACCAAAAGATACACCGACTATGGTGCCAGTGCTGTGCGTGCAAATGATACAAATCATCAACATTTTATGAGGAACAACCATGATGATTTTCAATCGCTCTATTGACTTTGATTGTTTCGAATTTACGTACGCGTCTCGTTGACCATACAAGCACCTTGGAGAAAGTACTTTTCTTTTGCTTGTGATATTATGGTACAGCAAACATCATTCTCGCATTCATCCTTCGGACATTTTGAGATTATCCCTGAAAGGCGGTATAGATTCGTTTTTATTCACTCAAAGAAAAATTGTTGGCTTAAACAATTTTAAGGCCCATACTCAACGACAACTAGTCAATGGTAAGCATGTCTTTATTGGACCAGTCAGTTCACCAATGTTTTTGCAGTGTATAAAATGACCGATCACACGTTTGTCCGAATACGGCAGAGTCGTTCTGACAGTATAACAATAGGAGATTCCTGTCGAATCGATCACGATCACTCCATCATAAATAAATTAAGACTCCTAGAATGATAAACTGCTTCGCAGCTTTGAGACGCAGCTGTTTACTAAGTTTTAAAGTTGGAAATAACTTATACCACACTGTAAACAGAGCCCGTAAAAACACTGTCAATTTCCCGTACTTTTTACGGTTTATTACCGTTATTGCTCGTATCGTCACAAGAAAGAACGTGCTACGTGCATTTCCCGTAAACTTGGTGCCCTGACGCAGGCTGGGATTCACAATGCTTTGTATCCGTAACTTTTCGAAACCCCTCCCCTTTCAAACCCTCACAACCGCCTAGTTTTCGGTGCACTCACGCAAGGTTCGCTACTTGCTGATCATTGTGCCATTAAAGCCGTACTGCTTTAGGCCTAATATTGCGGAATTTGGAGAGCCAAGTAGCTAATCCTGCGGTGTTGACCAGCAGTAGGTTGACCCCTTTATGTGGGATCGGTAAAAAGTTGGAAATGAAAATTACGTAACAACTTACGGACGCAAGTTATGTTACAACTTACAGATAATTTAATCTAAAGTGATTTGAAAACCACTGTGCGTGTAAAAGACAAGCTGTAAAATAGGCCATCAGCTTGGGGGTTTGGTCAGTATCAAATCAGGGCATAAATGATTATAGTGCGCATGCACAAGGTATACCGCCCCTATAGTGGTAACAAGCATTTTGATGGACATTTTGAAAAAAAAGGTGATAACACCTAAAAAGCTGCCACTGCTGCAATGCTATCACATATTTTCCAACTCTGGAAAATCGCTAGGGCGATTATTTCCCTCATTTGATACCGGTTGCCAAAACTTCGGACCGAGGCTGATGGCCTAAAACGTATGCATACCCGATTCCCAGCTGCAGTAGCTGGAACCTACCCCCTCCCTACCCCTACACTCAGCTCTGACGCCATCCACTTTGTATTCCATTAATACTTTACGGCAAATTGCCGTCAAATTTACGGGAAATTCGCGTTAAAATTACGGTCACCGTCATTTTTGGAAACCCGTAACTGACCGTAATTTTACGGTCTTTTGTTGGCAACCCGTTTGACAGTGCTACCGTAAAATTACGGGCAAATTGTTCACAGTGCAGTGCAAGTGCAGACCTAGTACAAGCTTCGGCTTCTTGTCTGGCCTCCCCATACTATTATTTCAAAGTTCCGTTAAAATGTTTACCCGATGTATATTATTCAACTTAATTACCTTATAGTATGGAAATAAACCTGAAACCTGAAACCTGAAACCTGAAACCAAGTAGAACCGACTTGAAATGGCCTCATATATCATGATAACAGAAATGTCATGTCATTCAACAGTATTACATTTTTGAAACCATATCAATGGTAGTTTGATTCCGGGAACAGTCTGGTTTGGCCATGAGACATCACCCCTTAAGACAAGACAAGACAATTGTTGTGTAAACCTGGTCACATGATTCAGTTGATTCAAAATGGCTTTTCACTGGAAGTCTATTCGTGCCTCTGAATTATTAGCCAGTCATTGGTGTTATGCAGAGGTGGCAGCAAGTAATTTTTTGCAAGTCCAAGTCAAGTCACAAGTCATTGTTTGCAAGTCCAAGTCAAGTCACAAGTCATTAGGTCCAGTCACAAGTCAAGTCACAAGTCATTAGGTCCAATCACAAGTCAAGTCACAAGTCATTTGGTCTAAACACAAGTCAAGTCACAAGTATCTTTGTCCAAGAACACGTCAAGTTGCACATTATTTTGTCCAGCTGTAATAAGCTAAAAGAACCTGGCGTCAACTTACGAGTTGTTTTGAACATGCCTCCTTAATTCCCCTTTTTCAATGTGTTGCAATTACTATTCTTGTAGTTTATCACATATCTTTCGGATATTAACCCTTTGTATACTTTAATAAATTTACTTTACATTGTAGAAATAAATGTTGAGATGACATGAAAAAAAGACTTTGTATTGTTACCATGAAGCTTTACATGCAGACAAGCCCGATCCGATCTGGAATTAGGGAAAATATACATTCTGTCTACGGCAGATTTTCAAGTACTAGAGGCTAGAAGTTATTTAGATTCAATAGCCATATGAAGCAAGAGTTTGTACGCAGCCCAGAATGACCGAAAATCTATTCGCGGTTAAGCCCCCCCCCCCCCCCCCCCCCCCCCCCCCCCCCCCCCCCCCCCGAAAAAAGTCACAGCGCGACTACTCACCGCTCATCGTGGGTTTTAAGGTGCCGCACGAAATTGCTCGTTGTGTTTGGGCCATCAGTGACAGTGGATCCACATATTTTACAAACAGCATAACTAGCGTCTGACTTGGGTTGGTAACAAGTCATTTTTTTGCAATCCCAAGTCAACTCACAAGTCATTGTTTGCAAGTCCAAGTCAAGTCACAAGTCAGAGCTGGTATTTACAAGTCAAGTCACAAGTCACAAAAATAGCGACTCGAGTCCGACTCGAGTCCAAGTCACATGACTCGAGTCAGCAACTCTGGTATTATGAGGTAAACCTATACAATAGCACTGCCAGGCACACTCCACACCAGTCAACAACCAGGCTATATAGGGGAGTCAGCCAGCCAGCCAGACAGCCAGCCAGCCAGCAAGCCAGCCAGCAAGCCAGCCAGCGAGATAGAAACAAAGACCTGAATCTATTTTATTTAAATTGTGACCTGTTGAATGGGAGGTGCCAGACTATTTTATGATTGGCGTGCATTCCAAGCCTCACTTTCAAATGTTTGTTTAAATGTGGCTTAAAACGTTAGGGTATATGTTGTAAATCACAACTTTGAAATTGTATCCATCAGAGCAGGCTGATACTAATTTGCAATTAACTTTACTTCATTGCTTTCGTTGCTTTCATTTCTACTCGCAGGTTCCAAACATGGAGACTTTACCTCGCTTTCAATTCAATATGGCCGACTCGTGACTAAAGTCTATAAAGTCAGATTGCCTCGTCTTGGAAAAAACTTACTCCCAATAACCATAGTAATCACTGTAGTCACAGCAGTGTTGCCCTGTGGTATATTCATCGCAGCAATACGACCAGTCCCACGATTGCCCTGACCGAGGGCAGTAGAACGACTGGGTGAATGACGATCCATCGTACATGCTCGGGCAATAATCCGTGTAAGCTTTGCGAGGAAATATGAATAAAAGAACAAATCAAAAGTGAAAAAGTTTGTTAATCGATTAAGTTCATGCATGCATATTATCGGTATTTTAGAATGAAGTATTTTATCTTGTATTTTTAATATGTGACACGATAAGATACAGTAAAAAAAATAATTGAAACAAATAATTAACTATATGTAAAATGCAACATCAATATGTTTTGCTTCATTAAGCACACAATATCTGATAATAATTTGTTTTTGTTGCGTCGGCGAAATGTTAATTTAAAATTGGATTTTGCCTTTCACCAAAACAAGTGTCTTAAAGAAGAAAGGAACAGTACGGGCCTACGCTTTAATTTCTAGAAAGTGAAACAATTAAAGGACTTAACGGTTTAGAGTAAAAATCACTCTGATTTTAGGTTGGACTCTTAAAAACTATCATTTATGTGGAGACTGGAGTGAAACCTCAAACCTATTACATTGAATGAATTCACTCCAAATCGTCTTTTCCCCATTTCGACCGTACTCATTTCCTTCAGTACAGGGTGTAAAAGAAAGTGACCTGGATTAATGAGTTTTGCCTAATATAAATTTCATACACCGATGAAGCATGTATAATATTCTAAACGAGCATGTTCGTCCGTTTGAGTGAACAAAAAAATACTGAAATTGTTCCAGAGAACCCATTTTTACAGCTGTCCATGCTAAAATGCTATGCAAAGTGAGAACAAGAGATTGCACACTGCATGTATTCAAATACAAATGGTAACGCTAACGGCTCTTTGGGGGTCAAGGACCAAAAAGCACAAAATACTAGTGTTGTGCACACTTATTATGGAAAGAAATGCATACACTGCAGGTTACTACTCGGTAGTATTTTGTAGCTTTAGGTGACTTTGAGTCAAGACTGAAAAAAAGCATTTTTGTCAGACTTTGTGTTTTGCATATTATGAGGAACAATTCAAGCCCTTTTCTGATATAATGAAGACGATTTTTGTCCGTTTACCTATGCAAGTCTTGGTTCATTCATGGAGGTACAAGATGACCTCCATGGGTTATTGTAATAAAAGGCATCCATCGATGCGTATAATGATCAGTGGTGTGAAGCTGAATTGTATGGTATCCTTAAAATAGACATAACTTGTGACTATATAGAGTATTCAAATTACGTGAATATTTCACTGTTACAGTCAATAACATGTACTTTATTCCTTTGTTTTTGTTTTTAATTAAATGGAGAGAGCGATATATTTTTGTTAATATTGTTTTCAAACTCGGTCACTAGCTTTTTGACTCACCCTTTTGTATACATCGTACATTCAGCGCTAACTAATTCGAAACCCTTTCCCAGGAACTCTGACAGTATGTGCCACTGGCCGGCACTAGCTTACCGCGAAATGGCCGCACAGGCCATAGAAAGTAAGGAAGAAATTATCGGAGGTTTCTCTGTCTTCGTGGTATGGAATAACATATATACTCACCACATGAGAATGAAACGACGAGAAGAAACAGGGCCAGAAGAGTGCGAGGTGCCGCCATTTTGAGGAAAGATGGAGTGGGACTATTATTAATCGTGTGACACCGTTTCACGAGAAGAGAACTGTGACGCACACGCGAGCCTGACAAACTGCAACTCGAATCTGATCATATGATCACAAGTTTACACAATTGATGTTGAACTTTGGATTTATGGACTACTGGGCTGCAAAATAACACAAAAGCTGGATAAAAATACGGTTGCCCTCTATCTTCCTTTGATCTGCACAAATTGTTTATTCTAATATCATTTGCCTGCGTAGGATGTCAACGGGTCAAAGTGGGTTTCGATAACAAACTGAATTTGCAGACAAGTCATGTGAAAAAGTCAACTTTTTGCGGGTAGCTACAATTAGAGGGAAACGAATTGCAATGGTGATGGAAAGAATGGTTTACTTTTTGTTATTAACTGAATCAAAAGAGGAGTAGAGACGGCTTTTTAAAAACCAATGTTATACTCATCTCCCTGTGTGAAAGTTGAATTAAGAGTAAGATTAGAAAAAAAAGGATAATAGCGCCCTCTGAAGTCTAATAAGGCCTTCTACCCCCTCCCTTCGAATTTGCACCCCCAAAACAAATGCAAACAAACAAAACAAAACAAGAATGCAAAAGCAAAATTTGGTTCTGAATGGCTGCCTTAGATCAAACAAGCACTTGATGTGAACAACATTTTGTTTGTCTATCTTTTTTTGTGCTCATACAGCCTTTTGCCATCTTTTCATCATATTATTGTTTTTACCGGCTGTTTTCCCACAAGCTGCTGCTTATTAAAACAGCCCCATGCTCTATTTGCTTCTTTTATTTTGCTGTTAATTTGATATTAACTGCTTTACGGTTTAACCATTTTCTCTAAAGTTTGTAATTTTTTTTCATGAAACATGGAAATAAATGTGAAGTTGAATTGAATAAACTGCGAATTCATTTCCTTAATACTTTGAACAACAAAGTCGGAAACGGATAAACAGATTTTGCCCCGAGTCGGATCATTTGTTTTGTTCCACTCATTTATTAATTGGTTGCTAATCTCTTTTAAAAAGAAGTTAAAGGAAACGTATAATTCATATGATTTATGACATTCTAATGTAGCTTTATACATTCCGCAATACAGTGCGCAATTTGTCCAATGTCAATCATATCAACAGCCGTGCACGTCGGGGCCTCATTATATACGGATAGGCATGGGTTAATATGGGCGATAGGCGGAAGTATCATTGGGGCAAACAATTGTCAATTTTGAAGTTCTAAACAATAAATGTTGTCAACTGATCGTTAATTGACTTTCAGCCCTTGCAGTTTTGCAAGGAGCAGGTAGAGGTACAGATTGAGGCCACAGTCCATGACGGCGGCCGGCAGGTAGTAGTTAGCCCAGGCGATGCACTTGCACAGGACATTGGACGGGAAATATCTATCGTTGGGGTTTTCGTCGGTGAGGGCGCTGGTGTAGGCCTTAATCACTGGGACGATACTGCTGTGGGTCGTCTTCAAGATGGGCATGATCAGGGCCGTCTTGACACTCTGGAAGTGGTCCTCGCCGTACGCCTGTCGGACCTCCATAGGGGTGGAGTTCCAGACGCTGTCCATCCCGCTGGTGAGGGTGTCCTCTTTAAGCATAGCAGAACTTCCTGTGGTGTTGAAATGCGTTAGTTCATTTTGGCAACCTGAATTCTATCTCTGGAGAACCACTCTTGAAAAGATTCCCCCCCCCAAAAAAAAATATAATAATAAAACTCCAGTTTTTGTTCGACGCGGAAATACAGTAATATATCGTGTGCACTGCAACTACCTGTGAGGTGTGTACTTTTGTTCAACAGGGATACACTTGAGTAGACCTCTTGTCTATTTATTATTAACCATAAAATTATAACCGGAATCCTCATTTTGTTATGCATGATCTCATTAAATGAGCATGGTTAGGGTTAATGAATTACAAGACGAAATACACTTCAAATATGGCTGCTGATTTAAATCGGTAATATTTGTAATATTTCCATTTTCGGTTTGTTAGGATTGAGGTTTTTGTTTGTTTACTGAAGCAGAATTTGACTGACCTGCCGAGAAGGTTCCAGGTTCCACGATGACAGCCTTGACGCCCCACTGGAACATCTCAATGCGCAGCACGTCGGTGAAAGACTGCACGGCGTACTTGGTCATGCAGTAGGCCGCACAGTACGGCGAGCTGAATCGGCCCAGCACGCTGCTCATGTTCACAATCCGACCTATATAACAATAATCAATCAAAAGAGAATGTTACGGTTGACAGGTGTTGGAAATCGTCCAGTAAGAACCATATACTTTTGTGCAAAGTTGCCGAGTTGCGAGATTCAAAGGAAAACATGGGGACCCAAGATTATCTGAGCCTCGTCATGAATGTTTATGCGTTTCGATTTTATTTCTCTAAATACTATGGAACTTAATTCTGTGAATTGAATTTCCACCCAATTCACAATACAAACGAGACATGACCAAGGCAAGCCTAGCAAAGCTGAGTACCAGGAGCGCACACAGCAATGGGAGTCAAGTTGGCTCAGTGGTTAATGTCCTCGCCTTCCACCGCTATGGCTGGGGTTCGATTCCTGACCTGGTGCACGTGTGGATTGGGTTTTCAGTCCCTACCCGTTTCTGTGGGTTTTCCCCAGCATATCCTTCTGGGGTTTTCCTCCCACCTCTAAAACTGTAGTTTCTTCTCATTGTCTTCTCTAAACAGGTGTCTTCAGGCTTTCGAGCTACAATGCCCAGGTGAACCTTGAGGAATCCTTGGTTTCATAAATAAAGTCCATTCAACCGGTTCAGAACGGCTGCTCACTGGAAGTCTCTTCGTGCATGTGGCCTACGCAATGGGCCGGACTTTAGCCCGTTAATTTGCGGAGTACCGGGCAATCCTTCAAACTTTGGGGCAAAGGAGAGATTTAAGCAATTCTCATTCACTTAGTGACAAAGTGGATTAGTGAGTCAGTCAGTCAGATATAAAGAGAAGAATTATAGGCTGGTCCTCTCTGACCAGCAATAACGCAATTATGTACCTTTGCTTTTACGTATAAGAGGCAGGAACGCCTTGGTCACCCGGACCATGCCCCATACATTGATGTCCATCACCTTCTGAAATGCGTCCATGGAGATCCATTCGACTACTCCGAACACTGCCACGCCCGCGTTGTTCACCACTCCCCATAAAACTGTATAGTAGGCGGGGCAAACAGGGTATGATGAGGGTTATGTCAAACTTTATAAAAACGTTAAAGGTTACCACCCCCTCCCCAGACGTACCCATTCCAAAGTCTGTTCTAGATTAAAACACCTTAGTTTGCGCTCAACGGCGACTGGCGGATCTGCATATTCATGACGCAGCTGAGGAGTTGATGAAGCCCGGCTAGAACCTTTTTTTCAAGGGGATAGTTCAGTGGTTAAAGTCATAGATTTACAAATCAAAGCAATAATAGACGCTGATATAGGAAAGAATTTAAAACAATACAGTAAGGTCTAAATGATTACAATTAGTAGAAAATTTGGTTAGCAACTCCAACTACCACCCCACCCGTCCCTCCCCACCCCCCTGTATCAAATTTGACAAAACGTCTCACCATCTCCCGATTTGGCCAATGTTGCCTCCACAAGAGAGACAGCCTCTTTGACCTCCTTGTCGCTGGTCACGTCCAACTGGATAACCGTCAGTTTCTCTGAGCAGCCCTGCCTGAGCCCTGCCGCCCCCTCCCCGTGCTCAGACAAACACCCAGCGAACACCCGGAACCCAAGCCCGTCCAGCCGCCTGGCCAGAGCGTTACCCATCCCGGTATCGCAGCCGGTGATCAGCACGGATTTGCCCCGCGTGCTGGCGATCTTGCCCCCGCTCGTCACCCTGGCGGCGATGAGGTACGAGGCGACGACAAAGATGACGCTCCCGAGGCATCTGGAGAGGAGTTCCTGACTGATCAGGGGAACTAAGAACCGCACAGAGGAGTAAGAGCACAGGAGAAAAATAGCCACAGCTTTAAGAGTCAGGTTTGCCATGGTGAAATTATTTGGGCAAAAAAACACCCCAAAAAACTCGCAAGCAACTGGCTCAATGGCAATTGAATGTCATTGAACCACTGGCCTGTTATCAACCCTGAGTTAAAAATAGTCTCTGTACTTCGCCCATGTTAATTTTAGTTCAAGGTAAATATGTACATGCAGTGCAATTTCTGTACAACTATTGTACGAGTGACAATAGATAGGCCCCTAGCTGGGGCATCCTTGTTAAGCTCCCTAACAGAAGATATATAAAAGGATTTGTCGAACAAAATTCAAATACTCATGTTTTATAAGAACTGCATCCTAGTCATTTCTTGAACCATCGCCAATGGAAGCAAATCAGCCAATCACCTCTTTCTCAAAGCACCCGAGCAAAGACCCCATATATGCCATTCCATGTTCGGTTTCTGCAGCAGATTTACGCAGCTACAATATCCCAGCCTGCCAATGCCGATTCCGATCGGTTCCTGATCCCCCTACCCCCACCTCTCCGACGAGCAGCCTCTCTCCACCCGGCTCCCCCCCCCCCCCCCCGAACTCTCGAAAGTAATACACTTCAAATTATTCCACATTAATTTTATAGAGAGTTCTGACGGTCATGAAATTTGGAATTGAATATAATTATGGCACTGCCCCTCTGGCAAGGTTGGGGCTTCCAATTCTGAGCATTATGGATGCAACTTGGTCCGAAAGTGGCGCTATAGGCTATGTTGTGGAGGTATCCTTGTTCAAAAGGCTACTTTTCCAGTTTGGGAAACATCACCTTCGTTTTAGGGGTCGTCTTCTTTGGGTGAGAATTTCTCCAAAAAGTCATCGGTCAACTCACCATGAATTGAATGAAAGACGACATGTTGATCATCATTTTTCTGTGCAGCCTGAATATACTTGTGAGAGTTCTGAGTATTTTTAAAAGAATTTTGAAGTAAATTTCTCACTGGTGTCTATGGGAATTCATTTACTGGGCTGTGGTTGCATTTTGTGGGCCGTGAACTTGAAAGTTAAGTTGTTAACAAGAAGGGCAGATGCCGTGCACATGACTGCCAGCTCGTATTTCTGTGTAAGTTGGATGAAACTGGCCCTAAAATTGCTCTATTTTGCAATTTTAGTGAAGGCATCATTTTTCAAGTTGGTGATGGGCTTCACTACTACGTTTAGGGTGTGATCATCTTTGGGTAGAAATTTCTCCCAAAAGTCATCGGATTACCCCAAACAAATTGAACAGAAATTCAAAGACGACGAAATAAGCTTTAATTCCATGTGTCCAACACCTTGGAGACTTGTATTTTTGGTGTGATTTCTGGAAGTTCGCCGGATCGGATTTCATCACCGGTGTCTATGGCAGTTGATTTACAGGTCTAGTGAATAAAAGTGATAAACAGTCAAAATATTCTATAATAGAGAGGTCTGAGAGCCATGGAATGGGGGGGGGGGGGGGGGGGGTTGAAGATATACACGAACATGTATGGCATTGTACCCCTTCGCTCGTACCCCCCGCCCTGCAAACAGGACGCTGAGATACTCTGATGAGCTTCACAGAATCTTGTGAAGGAAGTGTATGACCTATGTATAAAGCATCTGGCTGCAGCTGTTCAAGACCGCAGTTAGACAATGTGCGTTCGTGATTCGAAACGGAGCCTGAGCGAGTGACGGGAATTGTAAATTTACAACACAGATAAGTTTTACAGAATTTCCTACATTATTACGTCGCTTTTCAACGAGGAACAAAAATCTCTAAACTGGAATAAAAGAGAAATGAATCAGTCTTAACGGCCGTTTCAAACCTTGCAGAGTCATGACCTTGATGACGCGCAGGTCGCTGGTCACGCAAAATCCAACCAATCGGAGCGTGAATTCATCAGAGTATCCCAGCGTCCTGTTTGCAGGGCGGGGGTACGAGCGAATTGTACCCCTGGCCCGGACGTGAATTATTTTTTCCCAAACAACACCGCATGGTTGTTGAGCGCCCTCGACGATACTTTTATGATGTCGTTTGGTGGGGGGGGGGGGGGGGATCGCCGCCCGGACTTGGGGCTTCCAATTCCTAGCAATTTGGATGCAATTGGGCCCGAATGGCGCTATTTAGCCATGTTGTTGAGGGATCTGTTTTTCACGATACATGTAGCCTAGTATGGGAAATATCACTCGTTTTAAGGGTCATCTTCTTTGGTTGAGAATTTCTGGAAAAGTAGTGGTCAACCCATCAAAATTTGAAAAGAAATTGAAAGATGACATGTTGATCTAAGTTTTCTGTGTAGTCTAAACACATGTGCATGGGCGTCGCTAGCATTTTTTTCTAGAGGGGGGCAAAGCACATTCCCCCCCCCCCCCGAAATCCCTTTACTTTTCCAGCATATTCTATATTCATATTTACCCATTGCAAATTTGACCTGCGAAATAATAAATGAAATTCTCGATTGATCATTTTTCGAGGATGGGTGGGGACATTTGCCCCCCCCCCCAACCCATTAGATTAACGGCAATATGACTTCGCGCATTTTTTTCTTTCTTATTTCCTCCTTTTTTTGGGGTTACTTTTCCGAGGGGGGGGGGGGGGAGCGCCTCCCTTGGCCCCCTCCCCCCTCGCGACGCCCATGCACCTGTGAGAGTTCTGACTTGAGACACCCCGAAAAGCGCCCTCATGCGCCACATTTCCGCAATTGTATCCGATTCCCAGACTTCTACCAACCGAAATACCCCGTTAGAAAACGTCCTTTTAAAAGTGTACCTGTCTAAAAACTGGAATGCATAAGTCGCCGCGGGAAAGCGCAGAAGTTGCAAATCCATGTGCCCAAAAGTCCAGAAGAGCTCCCCAAAAGTTCAATGTTTGTCAGTATTCTGCTTTCCCATTTGATTCCTTTGCAACTGCAGCGTTGGAGGAACATAGAGGAACCAAGGTGCTATTCGTTTAAAATTTACAACCAAGTTGTGTGAACATGGTGAAGGCCTATTTTTTAGGCCCATGAAAATGAAAAATTGAAACTTAGATTTGCGTCCGAAAATGTTCCCGATGACAGGAGGCTTTTTTTTCATTGGAAAGATTCCCATATCTGGCCATCACTAATTTGTCCCTTCAGTAACTTATCAGCCATCATCAAAAAGTGATGGCCTCCGTGATGGCACATTTGTGATAATGTGTCCTAATTCCTAAAAAGTCAAATTGAGCAGGGAAAATATTGAAGTAGGCCTATTTACTGAGAAATCACTTGCACTAGCCTGACTAGGACTTCTTGCACTACTTAGAAATTTCCAGACCAGTCTCATACGGTTTGTGTACAGAGTGACAAGTGATGGTCAGATATGGGAATCTTTCCCCCATTTTTCACTATGCATGATTTTAGTGAAAAATCAATCACTTGACCATCTTCTAGTCCGAGTAACTTGGACCCAACTTATCGCCTTTTTTAACATTTGGACATGGTCTGGCGATAGTGGGGTCCAAGCTAATACCGCGACCTGGACAACATCATCCTGTCACTGTCCCAAAAACCAACATTTTCCAACAAAAACCATCAGATTTCACCTTCAAAACGGCCTCCAAATTGCTAGATATGCCACCTGAGGTACAAGTAGACATCGATAATTAAGATGGTTGTACTGAAGTTTACTTACGATCCGGAAAAAAGTGAAATTTTCCGTTCATTTCGGAGAGCTCCCCTCGCGATCTTGAACACGTTAAATTTCCGATCGTGTTTAATGTTTGAACGACGCGATTTCTTCTACATGCCCAGCGTACATTCGATGGTCCCCGTATCCCGAGTGCGATTCCGTTACCGAGCGCGCGCGATGCATCGGTAACGGAATCGCACTCGGGATACGGGGACCATCGAATGTACGCTGGGCATGTAGAAGAAATCGCGTCGTTCAAACATTAAACACGATCGGAAATTTAACGTGTTCAAGATCGCGAGGGGAGCTCTCCAAAATGAACGGAAAATTTCACTTTTTTTCCGGATCGTAAGTAAACTTTAGTACAACCATCTTAATTATCGATGTCTACTTGTACCTCAGGTGGCATATCTAGTAATTTGGAGGCCGTTTTGAAGGTGAAATCTGATGTTTTTTGTTGGAAAATGGGACGGTGTTGTCCAGGTCGCGGTATTAGCTTGGACCCCACTATCGCCAGACCATGTCCAAATGTTAAAAAAGGCGATAAGTTGGGTCCAAGTTACTCGGACTAACCATCTTCTAAATTGTGGCAGTGGTGGATGCCACCCATGCCACGGAAGTAGCTTGATCATGTTGATTGGTTAATGCTCAACTGCCATGTCAAAAAGGTCCCAGGATCGAAACTGTGCTGGACACATTTTTATTTTATTTTTATGTTCTTGGAACAGTTTCATTTCCTTAAAATGTTTGTATTCAAATTTATGCTTCTTTTTAGTGAAGATCGCATTTTCTTCTTTATAATCCATGGCTTTGGAGGATTTGTTTTTAAAAAGGGAAATACAGTCAAAGAATTTGGTTGATAGTCTGGTTCCAACAGCCAAAGATCCTGACATTGATTGTGAATATTATTATTAGGCCAAATAAAAAAAAAGATGTTTAGCGTCCCCGCCCACTTCCTTTTTGGAGGCCGCCTCCTTTCTTTTTTTTTTAACCGAACAAATGATAAATTTTAAACAGTGACATCATTTTGGCCTCTTTGTCTGTTGCATCTAGTCCATATAATTATAAAGCTGGTATGTCATTTTCTGACTCCAATGGCGGCCATTTAAACAAACAAACTGGCGGCCATCTTAAAAAATAGCCTGGTCGGGCGACCATTTTGGAGGGGGAAAAAAGGGACTCCCGCTTCCTTTTTTCAAAAAGGCAGGACGCTAAACATTTTTTTTAATTTGGTCTTGCGTCAGGGAAACACGGTTGACTGCCGTTACTAAAGCCACTGCATTAAAAAAAAATCGGAATTGCAAAGTAATAATTCAATAACTAAACATGGGCTGATTTTTTGGGTCCACGTCTCATTCAAAAGTGAATAACTTTTGTATTGCTAGAATAATAGCAATTTAGAAAAAAAAATCTATTTTTCAGGATGAAACTCGGAAAAAAAAAACACAGCAAATGCAATTTTAACTGGAGCTTGAATCTAAAGCTGCCGACAAACCCAAACTTTATAGTCATCTGTTTGTCTTTGTTCAGGCCATGATAGCGGCCAGTGAACCTCATGAGTTCATTCCGTTTGGCCGCCAGTTCAGCAGAGGCCAGTCGGACCGCACAGGCCAGCCTGCCAGCCAGCAGGGGGAGACAGCCGGTATTGACTTGGACCTTCCCATCACTGCACTGAGGGAAGTTAATATCAGCGATGCCTCTCAGGTAACACGAATCTTTGTGTACCGCACGCCGAGAAACCAGCTAAAAAAAAACCTTTGTACCTCTGTATTTCGTTGCTCATAATTTTCGTTGCATGTAGCGCAGTGGCATCCTCAAAAGGGCCACTCAATTTGCACAATTTGTAAGTCAGATAGTCGGGGAGTCAGTCGGTGAGTCATTTCCGTCAGTGAGTCGGGGAGTGAGTCAGTCAGTGAGGTACAAAAAAGGACTTCAGGCTGGCCCATCTTGGACTAGCAAAAATTAACAATTTAAAAAAACTTGAAGCGCACATTCACCTTACCCTGTCATGTTAAAATAATGGCATCCATCATGAATTAATCCAAGTCGTCTTGGATTGTTTGTTGCAGAAGGAGTTTTGGCACATTTCGCAGAATCGCAAGACCGACGGCAAGGATTTAGACTATGACGAGGAGATCTACATCAAGGGCACGGCGGTGGTGTGGAGTCGGGGGTGCCAGTCACAGGCTAGACTGGTCCAGAAGTCCTACCAGTTAGACTCGCCCATCATTGAGGTATGGACCTAGCCCCATAAATGTGGCCTATTTACTGGACTGCCTCCGTAAACATAGGCCACACGTCCACATGTACAAAAATCGTGTCGACTTTGCCAAATTTTGATTTTCACATTTAGGCTTAGTTTGTAGGATTTTTTTGCTTTAGAAGCATACTCACCCACTTTATAGGCTAGTCAGAAAGTGCTGCCTTTTTCAGATGTCTAATTTTTGTGAAATTTCATGTTGAAATTTTGATACGCAAATGTGTAAAAATGAATCTGGAAATTTCACGAAAAATATACATCTGAAAAAGGCAGCACCTTCTGATTAGCCTATAAAGAGGGTGAGTATGCTTCTAAAGCAAAAAAAATCTACAAACTAAGCCTTAACCCTAACCCTGCCAGACGCAACACAGTGCATCAGGTGGAAAAGAACTGGTGCACTTTGATGCATTCAGCTGCCAACACCAGTGCATGAATGGCCAGCTCTGAAACGATGAGAGCTAAGTCCCACTGAACAATGCCACAGTTGTATCCTGCTGCGTGCAGTGACCACGGACTCTGAGGCAGTGTGGCCTTGAGACTTTTCCCCTGATGGATCTTGCTACACTGGGCAGGCTTGTCACTTAGTCAAGTGTTGCATGTTGCTGTGCTTGGCAGGGTTCTAGCAAACATACCCTGGAGGGTTAGGGTTAATGTGAAAATCAAAATTTGGCAAAGTCGACACGATTTTTGTACATGTGGACGTGTGGCCTATGTTTACGGAGGCAGTCTAGTAAATAGGCCACATTTATGGGGCTAGTATGGACCATGGTACCCCCCTCAACGGTTACAAAGGGAGAGTATGGGGAGACCACTTGGAGGGATATTTAAACGCATTGCTGGCGACGCCTGATGCTAACGTGAAGATGCCACGGGTTTGTGAAGATTCAGGATGAAATAAATCATATGTACATGTCCATGTAGCTCACACCATGCGCACATGAAGCAGTAATGCACATGCGGTGTGTCCATCCCACAGGGAAATCTTGAAAGTGGTCATAAAGGTGCCAGCCACTGTCCAGGAGTCCAAGATGCCTACCATTCTGATTCACCAAACAGTAAAGGCACTATCATTGTTTAATTCTGGGGCGGCAAATCGATGCAAGAAACTTATTTTTGTTTGATGAGGCACGGATAAAGTGTCATTAGCAACACCCTAGTACTGTACAGAATCTGTTGGGTTTAGTTTCAGCTGCCTACAGAATGCTCAATGTTATCAATGTGGACTCCGTGCACAAGTACCCCGACAACAGTTACAAGGGGAAAGATGGAGGAGACCGCAGTCGGAATAAAATAAGTTGTGCGTACCCGGTACAATAATCGTGAGAACCAGTGTGTACACGTGATGTGTCCCTCCCACACTCTGGCTGTGACCCCAATGCATTGTGACTTGCAAGCATGTAGAAACACAACAAAAGAAATATTCACTTTGAAGGGATTGAAAAAAACAACACCACATAGATATTCTGGTACAACCCAAGGCGTCAGATCAACTGAAGCCCAATCCCATGTTGGCATGGTTGGGTCACAGATGTGAATAGTGAGGAAAGTATCACTGTTGTCCTGAAGTTCAGATCATTTTGAACTTGTCAACTGAACCATTGCCTAAAAAGTTGGTTATTTTCCAAATGCATTTTGTTTTTCAGGCAGAGTGGGTGACATTCAGGCTGCAAGACACCAAGGGTGACCCTCTGGAGGAAAGAACCCATCAAACAGGTGTGAAATAACTACACCTGCAAAGTACTGAAGGGTTTTCCTGGTCAATTTCAACAAAAAGTTGGTCTATTTAAATACCAGGCCCGTTCAGTTTCATGTGATATAAAATTCTGCCTTACATCAGCACATAATCATCAAATCATCATCAGGAGTCATTTGATTTCATTGGTTAGCATTCTTTCCCCTACTAGCTTTGTTCAATTTCATATGGTAATTTAGTTAGTTTTTGTCAAAGCCAGTATAAAGAGACTAATCAAGAATTGTTTGGGGGTGGGTGGGGGGGGGGGGTGCGGCCTGCATCAAGTCACAATTTGGTAGGTCAAAACAGTTTCTACGGAATGCATCATAGGTGAGTCACCTCACTTCAATGGGTGTGCTACAATATGTAAATAGTGGGTCCAAAATGCATCACTATGATCATGCAGGGGGTGTGTAGATTTAAAAAAAGAAAAGAAAAAAGGATGAATCCCTTTTGGACAATAGTGAGTCATGGATTACTGATTCACTGCCAATTTTTTTTTTAATTTCCATTTGATAATGACCCTCTCCCCTGCACACACAAACAACAAAAATAATTTCACCTTTCAAGTGAATACAAGTTTTCGATTCAGGATCCAACCCGAATGTGCTACCCTCCAAAAAAAATTAAATTAAAAGAAAACCAGCATAAGCTGTAGAACTACTGAAAGGTGTAAGACCATTAAGACAACATCCTACTTAATGTTACAGTCAATGATGGTCAACTTGGATAAGAAAGTAAACTCTTTGGTTTATTTGTTTATAGGAGATGCAGTGCCAAGTATCTGCATCACCCAAGCGGCTGTCCTGAATGTTTTCACTGAGGGAGGGGACCAATTCACAGCTTCCCTCCCATTCCAGGTACAATTGGCCACATTTTTCACAGCTTATAAACATCTTGCCAGCCAGTACATTCCATTTTGTAAACCCATATTCATAAGTACCTTTGGCGGTTTAACTTTTCCTGTTGGCCAAGAACCCCTGTCACATAGGTTGTTTTTAACTGAGGGAATAAGTGTGTGCTTTGGAGGTTTTAAACACTCTGTTTAAGATCAGTTGGATTCTGGATACTTATATTAGGCCTGGGTAATTATCAGCATCCAGACTCCAACCAGTCTTAAACATAGTGTTTAATACTGACCAAGCACATATTTATTCCCATTCATAAATACCTTTTCGGTCAAAAGAAAATCAAAACTTTTCGGTCCAAAAGTCAAAACAAGTAAAAAATTATAAATGTTCAACAATTTCGATCCACAAAAGACCCCTCTAGCTATACAATGGTAAGGCCCTCTGGTAAACAACTCCTTATATGGAGATTGACGCGCGTACTGCATGATGTGGCACACAACACAGATGTACTGGTGTAGTGTGAATTAAGAACTATGAAACACTGACTCACTGGTAGTATTGCGCATGCCTACGTGAGGATTGTGAACGCTCAACCAATAAAACGGTGCTGGCACCGGATTTCATAGGAGTCCAAATTTAATGTGACACTGGAAAACTGTTTGAGACCAGCCAGCTATGTCTTTATCAACCGTTTAAAAACTGGCCACATGATGGGCTCTCGACCAATAGGAATGGGTAAACTTGTCTTAGGTTTTTGTGAATGCTATTTAAAGGCATATAGGATCATTTTGCTTTTCATGCATTTTGCTTTTTTCCGAAGAAATCCGAAAAATCCAAAGAAAACGGTGAAGTTTCAGCTTGAGAAAACTGTGAAAATGCATGCACAACCTTATTGATCACAAAACACGATTTTGTTAATAGCGCCATTATTTCCAAAAATCAGTCAACTGACTGATCGTTTGAAATCACCTTACGTATCTAGATTTCTTCTAAATGACAGCAAGCCAGATGGAATAATTTTATGGGGGATTTAGTGCCAGTACAATCTTTAATCCAAGTAAGATTTCGATCATTATTCAGTTGGTTACTGTTGGGATAAATGCAAATGATCCTATGTGCCTTTAAACACCGCTAAGCCTCCCAGTTTCACATAGGAATTTTGATTGTTTTCCCTTTTTTTCAATCAGGTTTCCCATTCCTGGAGCATGGACCAAGGACTGCTGCTGGAAAGATCTGTATCCAACCAA